TAGTACTACTCCTCCTCCTCCTGCTGCCTGCTGCTACTTTGGCGGCGATGGCGGCAAGGACGACGAAGACGACGACACCCACTAATCGCTACAAAACAACTTCCTGGAATTCCTCCTGTTGCTCATACGTTCATACTCTTCAAACAGCTCATACTAATGAGGCTACCCCGACTACACATAATGCTCATATCATCTGCAGACCTTAACTTGGAAGCTACTGCTTGCTTTCGGCCAGCTAAACAGAGACCAACGAAGATATTCAAGACTGGCCTGGCACACAACCGGCGCAGCATACACTCACACGCCCTAATAGCTTAAATGCAACTAGTAACTTAACTAGACTTAGACGTCCTTGCACCTTAAGTCCTAGACCCTAAACTTGGCCCAAGGACCCTTGACAGCCTTAACCTGTCATAAGTGTGACCAACACCGATAAAGCCCACCTCACGGCCCAAGGCCCCGCCCAGGGTGACTCGGCCGGCGAGGACGGAGCTCAGAGTGTCATCGATCTGTTGCCAGGGCTTGAGGAGCCGAGTTTAGCGTTGAGGGTTCCAGACTGAGGAAGTAAGGTCGCGAGGTGATAGGGTTGCGAGAGTTCAGGAGTAAAGAGTTGTTTTTAAGTCTTTAACACTCGTGACAGTACTATGAACCATCCCCTGCTGACATCACCGGTAATCGTCAGACCGGTGGCAACAATTAACACGGAAAGGGTGCAAGCACAACGATAATCATCACAACATTTGCGCCCCGTGCCGATCAACTGCATAACAACCATAGCAACGACCTGTGCTCACTACCTTTGCAACCTCATACCACAGTCTAACGGGCGTTTGCAAACATTTTTTGCCCCTCGAACTAATGGCCTAGACAAACCCAAGAAGGGACAATTTGTGTAGGCCTTAGGCCCCTACATCCTAAACTCTTAACCTCTAAACCCCCAACCTCTAGACGAAAAATCTCCGAGCGCTAAACACAGAAATGTAGCTATGCTCACCGAGAAAGAGTTTAGGGTTTAGGGCCTAGGGGCTTAGTGTTTAGGGCTTGCGCTAAACTGGAAACGCTAGACCCTAAACCCCAAACCCTAAACCCTAGACCCTAAACCCTAAACCCTAAACCCTAGACCCTAAACCCCTTACAACTCAGAAGAACAGAGCTCGGCCAGGCGCTCCGACTTTTCTGGCGTGTGCAGATGCAGTGAGCCGCAGAAAGTTGGAACATGAGATGAGGACGACTAGTTAAGGGTTCTTAGTGCTCCTTAGGGTCTAGTTTAGGGTTCCTATAGTTTCTTTAAGGGTTCCTAGTGTTCCTTAGATTTTCTTTAATGGTTCCTAGTGTTCCTTAAAGTTTCTTTAAGGGTTCCTAGAAGGATGCTGCGGGTATCTGAAAATTCCTAGGGGTTCACGAGGAGCAGGGTTTAGGGCATGGGGTTTAGGGTTTGGGGTTGTTCCAACTTTTCGGCTTCTGCTGTAGGATCACCGTCCCAGGCGTATCAGACACACTAAACCCTAAACCCTAAACCCTAAACCCTAAACCCTAAACCCTAAACCCTAAACCCTAAACCCTAAACCCTAAACCCTAAAATCGAAGAAGAGCGCATAAAACTGGCGCCACTCCCTCTTGGCAGCCCCCGGGTTTCGGGCTTCGGGCTTGGAGTTGCTGGTGCAGGGTTTAAGATTTATAGGGCTTGGGTTTAGGGCTTAGGGCTTAGGGTTTAGAGTTTAGAGTTTAGGGTTTAGGGTTTGGGTTCCCTGATTTGGTGTTTAGGATTTAAGATTTATAGGGTTTGGGTTCCATGATTTGGTGTTTAGGATTTGGGCTTCGGGTTTGGGCCTCGGAACTCCAAACCTGAAACCTCTCCCTACCTATAGTCTCCATTGTAGTTCCTTTTTGGGGATACCTTATAAAATCCTTTTAGGGTTTAGGGGTTAGGGTTTAGGGTTTAGGGTTTAGGATATATAATTGGTTAAGCCAAAAAAAGGAACTTCAATGGAGACTATAGGTACCTCAGGCCAGCATAGCCCAGGCGCGACGTCGCAAGCGCTCTGCCGTGGTCTGCGTCGTGCCCGATGCCGTGGACTTACTCGCACTTCCCAAACCTTAAAGGTTACACCATAAACTTTCTAGGGTTTAGGCTTTAGGGTGTAGGGGTTTAGGGTGTAGGGGTTTAGGCTTTAGGGGTTAAAGGGTTTAGGGGTTTAGGCTTTAGGGGTTAATTGGTTTAGGGGCTTAGGAGGTTCGTAGCTATGTTCACTCACGGGCAACGTGAACACCGCCCTCAGCCCCGGAGCCCGACCCCTGTATTAGGGTTTAGGGCCTAGGCTTTAGGGTTTTAGGGTTTAGGCTTTAGGATTTTAGGTGGTTTTTTTTGGGTTTTAGGGTTTAGGTTTTAGGGTTTAGCGTTTAGGGTTTAGGGTTTAGGGCTTGGGGTTTACGGTTCCTGCACCCTCGTGAAACTCATCTTTCTGCATGTACGGCACTCGATACACCCATGCACGAAGCCTCAGACGAGCCAACTTCATGAAGCAATCCGTCTGGGTCATGGACAGGACCTCTTTGCTTTAACAGCAAAGCTCTCAGGCTGGGGAAGCGTTTAGGGTTTAGGGTTTGGGATTTAGGGTTTAGGGTTTAGGGAATCATACAGAAGCCCAAATAATTACCAATAGTCGTTTGGGGGTTCCTTATTATAACTAGACTGTAGACAATACTATATATTTAATAAAGGAGCCCAAAAACCTATTCTTAATATTAAGGCCCCTATACTAGGTTTTCAGGATTTCTGGGGCTTGGGCATCAGATTCGAAGTAACGACTTAGCTTCGGCTGCCCATGACATAAAACCCTAAACCCTAAACGCAGGAAATTCTCAACCCCAAAACGCCAGACCCTGAAACCCTAAAGCCCCCCCCCAAAAAAAAAAACTAAAGCCAAAAACAGTAGCTAACCCTCCGAGCACTAAAACCTAAACCCGAGACTCTCCAGCGACATGTTTCAAAAAAAGTAACAACCCTAAACCCCAAAACCTAAGAGGGGATGCCCCGGCCTCTGTGGCTCATCTCTAGCCCAAGGAGTCCGATGAGGATGCGAAGGATTCCGGCGTCCAGCTGCCTCTGCGATTTGGCGTTCGGTGTGTGTTTAGGATTCAGGGCTTAGGGTTTAGGGTTAGCGATTTAGGGTTGAGGGTTCACAGATTAGGGTTTAGGGTCTGGGGTTTCGGGTTTAAGCTGTTTCAAGGGGTTCATCCTTCAGGGTTTGAGGGGCCAGAGAATCACATCTTGCCTTCTTGGTGTTGAGCCACTTGGGGTTTAGGGTTTAGGGTTTAGGGGTTTGGGCTTCGAGGGAGATTGGTCGTTGAGGCTTCCAGGGTGGTGATTAGGGAGTGGCGGTAAAGGGGCCGAGCGGCTTGTCGACGCGGCAGTGATACCTGCATGAAGCTGGCTAGCAACCAGGTTCATCATGCACAGCCTCTAGAACTAAGTGAAGCAAAGTCCTGGACCCTTTGCGCCACCTCGCGGTGATGTCAAGAACCAATCAAAAGCCACATCTAGAATCTACATACAGATCCGCGCAGACTCTGGAAAATGCCCTTTCCTCCCGGAAACAAAAAAACTTCCGACACTGGGGGATTGCCCTTGAATTTGGACTCCAAAACCCCAACTCAGGCCTCGAAAACCCTAAGACCCCCTAATCATAAAGCCCTAAACCTCCAAACCCTAAAGCCCCAGACCTTTAAGCCCAAAAAGCCCCAAAACCCTCAACCCTAAACCCTAAACCCTAAACCCTAGACCTAAACCCTAAACCCTAAACCCTAAACCCCTAAACCCTAAACCCCAAACCTGAAAGCCCCGAGCCGACAGTCCCCAGCCCATGCCCCGAATCAAAGTCTGGCCAAGGCTCAACCCCACCAGTGTAGGGTTTAGGCTTTAGGGTTTAGGCTTTAGGGTTTAGGGTTTAGGGTTTAGGGTTTAGGCTTTAGGGTTTAGGGTTTAGGGTTTAGGATCAATCTACCTTCAAAAAAGGAAGATGACCCTTTAGAAGATGGTACATGTACCTTTCTTAAAATCACTAGGTAAACCCTAAACCCAATCAAAGTTGCCCTGAACCCTAAACCCTAAACCCTAAACCCTAAACCCTAAACCCTAAACCCTAAACCCTAAACCCTAAACCCTAAACCCAATCAAAGCTGATAGTTGAAGTCTGGCCAAGGCTCAAGAAGAAGAGCTGGGCGACGAGCTCCTCCTTCCGCCGCGCCCGGCCCTGGTAGATCACCTGACTTCCCCAATAAGGCCCGGAAAAATACAAGGTTAAACTTTCAGATTACTACTAAACTGCACATAAGAACTCAAACCGGATACACTTTCAGATTACTACTAAATTACAGATAAGAACTCAAAAAGTTTCCTAAACACTAAACCCTAAACCCTAAACCGTTGGGTATTTTTGGAACTAAGTCGCCATTAACTTTGCCAGGCTTTTGGGTCCCCCTTCGCGGCGAGTGAAGTCAAGGAGATCCTGTTTGGGGCTTTCTTCTGAGATTTACGGTTTAGGGCTTGGGGGGTCTCGGGATTTTCGGGTGTTTTTAGGCTTTGAGGGCCTCTAACTTGCTTTGTTTTAAAGTTTAAGGCCTAAAGGCTCCTGCATTTTGGGATTTCTGGCTCCAGACTGTGAGTTTCGGTCTGAGGGCTGCCATATGACGACGACTACAACGACTGCGAAGGGTGTAGGGACGGTTGCATTTTTGTCGTGGTATGCTTGTTCTGTTTCAGTCCTCCGCCTCCTCCTCCTCCTCCTCCTCCTCCTCCTCCTCCTCTTGCTGCTGCTGCTGCTGCTGCGACTACGACGACTACAGCCACGACTAGGACTACGACTACTGACTACTACGACTCTAGCCATTGCTACTCCTACTCCTGCTGCTGCTACTACTTCTACCTCGCACTGTTGTCATGGCAAGTTCAGGGTGTAGTGTTTAGGAGCTAAGGTTTTGGGTTTAGGGTTTAGTGTTTAGGGTTTAGGGTTTAGGGTTCATGCCGTCCTCCAAGCTGCGGCGTGATGCCGAGCTATGATGAGGAGGCGCTGTGAGAAGAGCCTTGAGCCACCAAGCTTCGCCGTAGCTCGGAGTTACCATAAGGGCTATTACAAGGCAAGGGATCTGTCGAGTTTCTGTAGAGTTTTGTAGCCGTAGTATGTACAGGTTTTAGAGCTTATGTTGAGGATGTGGGATTTAAGGACTGAGGGGGTGACTGTAAACGCAGCTAGTGTTTCGAGTTCAATGTTTTGGCATATGATGAGCCCGTCTCAGGGTCAGGGATTTTTTCTCGCAGCTCTGGGTTTCAGAAGGCTCAATCAAAGGTTTAGCGGGTAGGATTTGGAAGATGGATACTAGCCAAACCCTAAACTTTAAACTGTGAAGCCAGTTGTTTTCTCCCACCGGCCTTGTGCACATCAACATGCAGCTGCGATGCAGTAGGTGAGAAGCGTGAGTCGAAGGAGAAGACGAGGAATCGGCTCAGGAACGCGTAGCCGCAGTTTTGAAGGAGCATGTGCTTCATCCTTGTCTGGTCTTGGAACCCTACAAACGGCTCCTTCCTGAGAAGGGGAACAGCAACATCTAATACAATCTGATAAAGTCTAATGACTCTAACACAACCTCAAAAACATACTGCACTATGTGCTACTACACAAATAGCATCATAAAGTATAACAAAGCATAATATGATATGACATGCTACAGTACAAAAAGCTTAGTATAGTAATGCAACATCACACAACTCCATACTATACACTATAACACAACCTATGACAATATAATATAATATGGCTTCAAAACAGACTTCGCAGTTGACGTCCCAGCATCCCTTCTGTGAAGGATGTCTCCGACGCAAAGGCGACTACGCCGGCAAAGACTGCGTAGGTGCCGAAGATACAGGTGAGGAGGCGATCATCTTCCAACAAGGGAAGGTAGGCCTTAGGTTGCCGAGTTCATAAGCCCCAAACAGTGTAGAGGTTCAGGTCTTTCTGGCACAAGATCCCCGAAATCTGCAAGGTGTACTCATTCAGCCACTAAGAGGCCGTTGAATATGTCAACACATTCACGACCAAGCTTTCGGCGATGGTTTGCGAAGCGCCAAAGAGCACTAAAGGGAACAAGTAGAAGGCGACGTGTGCATAAAGCACCAGCTGCCTGACGTAGGGTCGCTGAATACTGTCCCTGTCAATCAAAGCCCGGGCACCGCAGTCCCAATCAAAACAAGGATGACAAAAACAACAGAATAATGTAGGGGCCTTGATAGTAGAATAAAGCCTCCCGGGACATTGTACCAGTACTTCTTACGGAAACATAGACGATGGCGTCCAAAAAATGTTCAGGCTCCTGTACGAATAACGATACTTTAGTTGGTCATATCCAGCTTCATGTTGGAAACAGTTCACATGTTTTTTCCTCATCACCTGCATCATATTTTTTACATATTCGGAACCAGCGTACCACTCGCCCACTTTCCGACATTGGGTTCTCGGGGTTGCATGTCGTCATGCTCGTGCTGGTTGTTGTCGGAATTTATTACCATAGCTCCTATTTTAATGAGTCAGGCTGTTCTTGTTAGAACCCTGCTAGAACGAGCCACGATGATGGCTTAGGGGTTCAAGGTTTAGGGTTTTTCTGAACTCCAAGGCTCAAGAAGACGTCGCTGGCCCGGGCGTCATCGATGATATGGGGGAAAGCCTTGCTCGGGATGTCCCGGAAGCAGTAGGAGGCCAAGAGGAAGAGGGGGCAAATACCGAGAAAGATCACAGGCACCTGGAGTGGATTTGATGTCCCTAAACCCTAAACCCTAAACCCTAAACCCTAAACCCTAAACCCTAAACCTAGGCTCGCCAGGCCAAAGAGGGGGCGGGGGAAAAACGCTCCTGCAATGGCGGAAACCCTGAAATCAGCCGAAGCTCGATAGGTGAAAGGTACATCTGGAAGTCACGGAATACCAATCTAAGGTTGAAGGCCACGACGACGATGGAGATCACGAAGATCGTGAGTCGGGCGTGATGACGAGCCGAGCTGGATGCATTTGGCAGGCGCACTGCTCCACGCAGGACTGCGTACAGCTGGCGGCTCATCGCTGAACTACTTTTAAAATGCCTGCTGCCATCGACCGCTAAAAAAGGCTGAAGCAACAAGCGCCCCCAAGAGAAGCCTCTCAAAGAACATTGGCTTCCGACCAGACCTCAAAAATGCATGTAATGCACGATGTGGAGCGGGCAGAATTAAGAACACTTCTCCAAGCTTTGGTGATGCGTAGATGCACAAGTATGGACAGCTCTTGACGACAAGCACGGAGTATGGACTATGAGCTCTAAACTCCAAACCCTAAACCCAAAGCCC